AATCAATGGTTCCTTATGTCCATCTTGTCTCCGGGCATTAAGTTGAGGGTCATCCCGTTAGCAGGAACAAGTCAGCTTCAGTCCCTGGATTGCATCTTTCACTCAGAAAGCCGTTCAGCAAAACTCTCTCCGACTCAAAACTTGCGCAAAGCCTTTGTGCTTTGAGGGTCCTCACATCCCCTGCAATGTTGAAGGGGGGCTTGTCTTGTGCCGCTTAGTTGGGTGTTTCCAGAGGAAGTGGTTTGATCGAATCGGCCTGCGGTTGGTGCGGTCAGCTGACGTCAAGTCTCACCGCCTGGTGCGACCTGCTCGATGCTTCGATGGGCCACATAGGTTCAAAGCCCTGCGAACAGGATGGCATCCATTCCATTCGAACCCATTGCAGCAGCGGCAACTCGGCTAGTCGACTGCAGAAACACCACCTAGTCCTTGCAATTGATATAGCTGGCACTGCCTTCCTCTTAACCGATGTGCATAGATATGATATTTGATGGTGTATAGATGTTCTTTCGTCGCCCGTAGATAGAGTTCCAAACAAAGGTTGCATCACTGGAGGCTTCCAGTAGCAGTGAATGACAATAGCTGGCTGCATTTGAGGGAGTAAAGGGGATTACATCAACCTGAAATGCATCCCCCATTGAAATACACAAGAGAGGGTCCCTGTGTTTTCCGGACCCCAGCGAATTTGACTCTTTCGGTTTATATGTTTGCAAAAGTTGGAGTATTTGTTTGCAATGTGACAATCCTTTTACGATACATTTGCAATTGTTGAATAATTTGAGGGCAACGTGACAACCCCTCGCAAATGGAATATGTCAAACTATTCAGGGAGGGATGGCATCCACGCGCGGCATGCGCCGGATTCCTTTAGCAGCACTCCTGGCACTGCTCTTCAGGCGGGCGGGGTCCAGTGCAGAGCTCGAGATCTGGGGCTTGAGATCCAAAGCTCCGACTTTACATGGTTGTCGTTGGGAAACATTTGTTTCAATTTTTGCTTATTGTGGTTTAGTGGGAAATCCAAATCCACTTACCTGCTAAAAAAATAAATTGTTGCTCCCCTTCCAACGTCAAGTTTACATGGGGCGAATATTTAGGGAAACCATCCAAAAGATACGACTTTCACCACATGGGAAAAAGTTACCCATGGTCATTCCGGGCCCTAAATAGAATATTGATCAACCTCCATACGAGTATGAGTCAAAATTAATCCACCAGAAAACCGCAGGTTGTCCTTGTTTCCATTTTCCAGGGTTCCCTTTGGGCACCTATCTTTGACCCACAGCCATATTCCATTGCAGATCTTGGAGGATCCTTCGATGCGGATCAGCTTGCGGTTTCCTAGCAAGAGACGCCCAGAACTTCGGATGGGTGGGTTGACATGTCCAGCATTCTATGGTTCATTCGAAATGTCATTCCAACACCTTCGGGGGGGTTCACTATTTCCCAAGCTGGCTGCCTATGTTGGCTGTGGCTCATGGGAAAAGCGGACATGCAACGCAGCCCACCCTCTCTGTAGTGCAGGGAAAGGGCAACATACAAAGATATATATTATATATATATACACATATTGTTACGTACTATGTGGAGGAGGTTCTCCCAAGTGTTTCTCCCAGACGGAATGCAAGTTTTACACAGCTTGGTGCAAACTTGTGGGCACAAGGCAATTTGGATACCCATGGCTTCGTGTGTAGCTTTGCGGGCACAAGGGTGGGCGTATCCCTAACACTCCATGTATGGTGCTTGTTTGCCCGCATTTGCTCAAATCTCGGTTCATAGGACCTAACATGTCTCAGCACATTGTGGGGCCCCATTTCGTGGGGTAAGTTTTCCGCTTTGTTTTCCAAGAACCAACCCCAAAAGGGGCACCCTGAAAAGCACAAAGCCCAGAGCTTCCCACCAGGCCGCTTCTTCGGCCGCCAGCTGCGGCCTGCTGGGCCGAAAACGGGGCGATCGGATCGAATCCGACGAAGGGCATGAGGCGCTCTTAAGCGTGCCATGAGAGGACAGGTACACTCAGAGCCCTGAGGTCCTGCCATTCGAGAATCTTAGGAGAACTTGGGTGGATACACATGCCTCCCTAAGACTTCCAAACGACATCAAATGAATGGCCGAGGTGATAAAGCTGCAACATCCGTTGTCCCAAGGACATTTATTTAATGGCCGAGGAAGTTCCGGAGCCTTGTGCTCTCCGATCCACGGAAGTGGGGCTCAGGGGCTCGGGAACAAACAGGCTTTGTGCTTTTGAATCGGGATAGGGGAAGACACGCTTGACACCTGACGACATAACTAGGATGTTTGGTATGGTCAACATCCCCTCCCACCGCCGCAAGGGAGTGCTTTCGAAGTTTTTTTTTTTTTTTTTTTGAAGTTGGATTCCGAAGGCTGGCCCCGTTTTAATGCCCAATTTGCTACTTGCTGTTTCCCAGACGAAGTTGGGTGTGGTCAGAAAGACAGGGGTTTTCGACCCCCAGCCTGGATTTTGGGGTTGAAAGTTAAACATTTAGGTGAAAAATCTGGGGCGAAACCACGAATCCTGAAGTCAAAAAGGAGGCCACAGAGCCTTCAGCTTTGACGTTTGCCCGGCCATATATATATATATATATAGGGTATGGGTGTGCGTTGCGTGCACTTTTTCGTTTGCTTGTTCCAGCGCAGCTGGATTTAGTGGTACCCGGAAACTTGGCGCCAAACGGAGTTCCTTGTGAAGAACTTCAGGGGTATTGAGGGTGTGATTGAGGGTGTGTCTTTTTCTGGGGAGGCTCCCCTCTTTTGTCATTTGAAAGGGAAACCAAAAAGAGAACTACCCTCCCACCAATGAACATGGAACCTGAGCTTCCGTTTAAAGGGAACATGGCCCGAACCAGGACCCCCCGAACGTCATGCACACCCAAAACCCCTCACTTCCTGAGTTGCGCTTTGCACCTTTTGGTTGGACCATTCTCGCAGTAAATGGGATGTTTGGATCAGCCACTCAGGAAGTTTGTTTGAGTTGGTGCCCTTTTTGATGTTGGTTTCAAGGGTTCCCCAATTTCAACACATGCCCCGAATCAACAGGGCATTTGCGAATGAACCGGAATGGCATTCATTACTCAAAGGGGCAGGGTACCTCGCAAGCCAGGTTATAACCCACTGAGCGGAGACTTATAACCATGGTAAGTGGGTTATGACTTGGCTTGCTACCCTCCCTCCCACTGACATAGCAACTGTGGGAGGGTACCTGGAAGATCAATTTCCTCTCGGAGGGGCAGGGCCCAGGTCCCTGTCAGCTGCCAAGTTAGTGCAAGGGAGGGTAGCCACTTACTATGGGTACCCGATCTGCAAGTAGAGGACGCAAGGAATGATTCGCAATTCACGTGGCAGGGACGTTGAAATTCCTTTCAATAAGCCAAACTAAGTGTGGGAAATCACGCACGGGTTCAAAGGGAAACTGAACTGAGCTCGGGGCTCGAGGCCCACTTGGCGGGCGCCCGGCCCTCAAGTGCTTCGGCGCGCCGGGCTTTCCGTCCACTCCAACTTGGATCTGGACATCGAAGTGCCTGACGCGGACCGGGCTGCGCGTCATTGGTCGTTTCCTAGAAGACCCCACACCCAAAAGCATGGGTGTTTCTCGTTTTTGCTTAGGCAATCAACAAAAAGCAGATGCCCAGAATAAATACATACCTGCAGGTGTCTTTCGAAGAACATGGCCAATGGTCAAAATTACTGTATTACGAGAGTTTCCTCACTTCCAAGCTGCCGAGCAACATGGACAACGCAAAACGGCAAAGCCGTTTTCGACATGTTCATGTCTTCGCCGTTTTCGTACTTTCTCGCGCATGTCTCATCGCGGCCCTTCTTTTTCGCGCTTTCGTGCTTGCACGTTCTTGCTTTTTCGGGCTCGTCCAGCAGGGGCTTATGAGAGTCAAATGGATCCACGCATGCTCCGGTCAGTTGGTGGAAAGTGCACGGCTGGCGGCCATCTGCGAAGAAAATGAATGTGTTCGTAAGATGGCAGGCTGAAACATTTATCAGGTGTATGGGGCGGTGTGCATGTTTAAAAAAGAACTTGATATTCCAGTTTTTTTTGTTTTTTTTACTTTGTCACTCTCTCAGTGATGCCTGACTGCATATTGCCACTCTGTGATACCGCAAACAAAAACATGTTGTCAATGTTCGAGTCTTTCATTTGCGGGGGGGCGGGCTTGACGAGAGTCACATCGCAGCTGTACTTGTCTTGAGTGTATGTTGAATCCCCAGATCGACCAACTGTGCTTATTTCAACTTGATCTTGATCCCGATGAACCCTGAGATATGTATGTTGAATTTAAACAACTCGTAGCTTTGGCCACTTTACCCTGAACTAGATGAACCTTCTGAGTGGATGCGCGTGGAGCTCGAACGACTCGAAGGACTTGGAGGCTGGGCTGCCAAGCTTGCTGGCCGCCTGGAGCCCCAGACTGGGCGGCCCAGAAAAATGGATTTCCATGAGACATCGACTATACGGGCACCAAGCGGCGCAGGCCCTAAAGTGCCGCTCGTTTCTTGGGGCTGCAAAGGGGGTAGGAAACCAGGCAGAACCTCCAAAGGTCGGGGGCGATGTCTTTGACAACATTGAATGCTCGCGCGGGAAAGGCGAGCTCACCCCTGAGCATACTTTGCCTGGATCCCGTTTTGGGAAGCTTGGGAACCGAAAGGTTTCCAACTTCAGCAGTTTTAACAGGTTTAGTCATTGTCTGCGGAGGATCTGAGCATGCCTTTGTGAGTTTGGCAACTGGGGGAAAATTTGACATTGGCCCTGCATGTAACGGATGAAAGTTGGCCAATGAGTTTGTCCTGGAAAGTGGCCTGTTTCACTTGAGCTTCTTTCAAGCCAGCGGTTGCTTGCTTGCCAATTCCCAAGCCAGCAGGCGCCAAACTCTGATTTCCAGCAGACAGACTGGGCTGTGGCGGGGTGGGAGTCCGGGAGGGCGCCACAAGACAAGTCGGGACAAGTTTGTTCCGTGTGCTTGAGGAACATGCTCATGGGTGTTTTGAAGGGTCCCAAACTAGAAGAATGTGTTTGTTCTGCGGGTTTAAGCCAGTTCTTACCTTGGAAGCATCTGTGAAAAGGTTTGAAATTCTCAACATGAAAGAAGCAATCAAAGTGGTTGGTTTGCTTTTTGGTTTCCCTTTCAATACTACACAACAAAAAAATAGCCCTAAAGAATGATACACCCTTCTTTACAATTCCGCTCCTGCAACCAATCCCGAAAAGCCAAGAGCCATTTTTGGACCGAAAGAACATTCCCCCCAGCCCCCTGGGCCGCTCGCGTAGCCTCGAGGCGGCGTTGGCCCTGGGCGTGTGGCAGCTGAAGGCGGCGGTGGACGGACCCCCCGAGTTCAACCCGCCCAAGGGATCCCTGCAGGGCCGTACCGTGCTCATCACAGGCCAGGCTTTTGGGAGGAGTTTCCTTTGGGAGTGAGTTAAAAGAGGATCAAACCTGAAGGGTCGATGATTTGGTTTGGTTGCGGGCATGTTGTGTGATAAGAAATCCACATTTGCTCACAAATGTCTAAGCCCCACAATGGGGTCCAGAAATGTGAGGTTTGCCGAGACTCTGGAAGGTAAATTTTGCAGGGGGTCATAGCTTTGGCTCGTTCTGCTTACTTAGTAGCCAAATAAGAGGTCTCAAACCAGTCTGAAACCAGTCTGATCAGTCAATTGGGTTCTATGGGGGAGGGGTCTCCATCCGGCCAGTGGTTGTGTTTTTGCCATGGTGGCTCCCGATTGGTAGTTGGACAGTTTGCTTTTGGTGGGCTGCAAGTGCCATATTGGGACTACTTTCGCGATTTGGGTGCGGCTTTCTTCCTCAAAATGTCCCATTCGCCAGTCGCACCCAACCGCACCCGTCACCTCAAAACAAAGCGGGTTTATGGGGCCGTCCGTTGAGACTCTGAGGAATTGACTTGCCGGCCAAGCAAGAGTCTCATTTCTTGTTTAATAAGATTTCTTAACACATTGAACGACCGTACTCCTTGCCTTTTGCACGAATTGGGGGGCATCTTTTTGCCCAAGAACTTCGTGGGCTGATTGGGGGGGGGGGGATGAGAGCATCGGAGCAAGTTCTTCCCCTCTCCCTCCCCCCACCGCAGCCATTGAGTCATGGAGTCCCTAAGAGGGGGTGGTTCAATCTCAACTACCCACCTCCCTTGTACCTACCCCCCTTACAAATTCCAGTTTCAAGAACAGGGCTCCTTAAAGGATACATCTTGCAACCATTTGAAACATGTTGTTCTTTTCCACCAAAACCCAGGGAAACCACCATTTACAAGGCAATGTTCAGGTGAATAATGTAAGGATCCCTGAAGGAAGTGTAAGCCTCCTGCACCTGCCAGGCGCATCTTCCGGCCTGGGCTTCGAATCTGCGGTGCGCCTCGCAGAGGCGCGGAATCCAATATCTTCTAAACCACCACCCAACTCAGAGTGACAAAAGGCACGTGTTGTTGTTTTTTTTGGGGGGGGGAGGGCGTGTGCCTTAATTTTTGCAAATATGTTCTTTTGGTAGGTGTTATTTTTGGTTGTTGACGTGGTTTTGTTCTCCAATCTCCACTTCAAATGTCTGAATCGCTTTGTAGTCGCCCCTTCTTTAAGCAACACTTGACAGCCGCTGTTTCAGGCGGGGGCCCGGGTGGTTGCCACGGCGCGCGCAGAGAAGGTGTCGGGGGTGGAGCAGGCGCTGCAGGACGTCCTGCAACATCATGTCCGCTTGAACAAAAGCTTGGGTCAAACTATGGGGCATCAACCCTTTCTGGAAGTCTAACAACGTCCGTTGTGGAACTAAAGCTAGCTCTCGCTAAGAATGCCCGGCTTTGCCGATCTCTGGGTTGGCGAAATGTGAAGCCCCAGAGTTGGGTGAAGTTTCTGAACCACACGGGTGTGGGTGTGTGTGGTATTTTGTTGAGGGGAGCAACCCTGTTCAGGTTGGATTAGGAATACAAAGGGAAACCCCCCATGTGGGCGGGCGCGCCATGGCAGCTTTTTGGGGTTAAATCACCCAAGGCCACCTTTCAAAGTGCCTTTAGTTTCTTGTTCAACTTGCTTGGGTGGGTTCCCACCCCTTCAAGCCAGCCCAGGACCAGTTGTTTTGCTACTGTACCGCAGCTTGACATCTGTTTTTCTCTCCAACTCCGTCAGTTTTAGAGGAAGCTCGTGTTGGGGGATGCCCTCTAACTGCGGTTCTCCTGTTCACTTGCTGAGTTCCAGGACTTCAAGCTTTTTGGAAAGACCGTTTTCGTGGCAAATAAAAAGTTTGGACTTTTCTTGGCCCATCCACTCATTCGAAGTGAGTCTGTCAATTTGCCGGCCGAGTAAACCAACCTGCAGGAGGAGGTGCCGCAGGCGGACGTGGCGGTGCTGCCGCGCCTCGGCTTTCCTTTTTTGTTTTGTTTTTCTTTCGGAACTTGTGAGACTGAGATCTAAAGATGTCCCGCAGCGCAGGGTGTGGCTCCTCAAAGGGACTTGGGCCACAAAGACTGGTGATTACCAGGTGCTACCCTTCAACCGATTTGCATGAAACCTGATCGGGGGGTCCTGGTTTGGACCATGGCTGGTACTGATGCGCAAAAAGCCTCCTAATCCGCACCAGTTCGCATTGGTGGTTTAGCCCAGATTTTCATTCATCTCAACTCGTGCGTCTTATGCAGAGCTTTGCGGATTTCCCAAATCTGGCAACCTCCGGAATCACGTGAACTTAAACACGGAGCCCTGTGGATTTTGCAACAATCCTTGTCCATCCACACCCAGCTTGGCTGCGGTTTGGTTGGATCTTTAGATATCAACTTGGGAAATGACCAAGCCACCAAGCCCCGAAGCCACTAAGCCTCTAACCCAAGCAACCCACGTCGAACTTGGGGCAGGTGGGTTCTCCAGGTCTGGGACCCGTGTCGTTTTGGACAGGTTGGACCTCGCGGACCTGAACAGCATCGAGACCTTCGCTTCCCAGCTGGACGTGAGGAGGGTCCGATCGAGTCACGTAGGCTGACCGTCACATGGGGCGGTCTTCCGTTTGGAGGCTACCAATTTCCCTGGATTTTGAAGTGGCAACCTGAAAAAAAGGTCGACCAAAACACCGTGGCGCAAAGCCGCATTCCAGATGGCGCTTCAGATCTATTTCGAGGGTACCCCGGGTTCTAAAGGAGGAAACCTAGTGCACAGAAAGACTCTTGCAAGGTTTGCACGGCCGTTGCCTTGGTAGCCCCAAGACCTCAATGAGCCCCAGAAAGATTCTAAGAATTCTGAGATCTAAGGTTCTACCACCCTTGTGAGAGGGGGCCATTTTGGTGTACCTCAGATGTTTGCCACAAAGTTGCAAGTGTCCAAGTCGCTTCGCAGATCATGGAACCTGCTGTTTTTAGGCCTTGTTCAGGCCCCATTTGGATATTTCGGGACCCTGTTTTCCCCTCAATGAACCATCCCCTATGGTGTCTGTGAAGATTGCAGGTCACGGAACATGGGGACAAACTAGTTAACTTCATCACTTATTTTCCATGTTTTTCCTTCTGATTCACTCTCGTTTACTTAATGAAGTTTTGTTGTTTTTTCCCGGGCAACACAATCAGATTGATTCCCCCCCTTGGCTTCTCCGGCAAACAAGCTCGCCCCTTCGGCGGGTTGTTGCCTCAGGGGCATCGACGTGGTGGTCTGCAACGCGGGGGTCATGGCTGTTCCGGAGCGCTCGGAGACGAAGGACGGCTTCGAGCTACAGCGCTTCGGATGAGGGCTGAACAGTCCGGCTTGGAGTTGGTCCTGGACCAAGAACTACCTCACGTACTCTCAGAAAAGCTAGCCGCGCTTTTCTTGGAAGGAATCCAAGCCTGGGGAACCGCGAGTAGGGCGCACCCCAAATGTACTCCCTAGGTCCCCCAGCTAGGTGCTCCCCCCAACTTTTTTGGGTACCCTTGTTCGAACTTCTCTACTGGAGGACCCGGAGAGACCCACAAAAGGGAATTCACCCTATGTTGAGGTGCAATGACCCATCGAGTTGGACTTTTTAGGGTCCAGATACCTCTTTGCTCTATGGTGAGTTGGCTATTTGGATTTTTGGACGTAGACTTGTTGGTTGAAACACTGCGGATTTTCCATTGGACGCAAAAGAGGTTAAGCTTTTTGCCGTCTAGGCGAGTGGAGGATGAAGTGCTGGTAAAAGGGCAAGGGATTTGATGCTCAAGTATCAAATTACTTATCTTACTTTGCAAGAACAACCACCGAACAGTTATGGTGGCCAATAGACGTCAACGTTCACCTAAATGCACATGGAGTCCGAGGAAAACTACTTCCTGGCGGAAAGCAGTTGCTTCATACCGTTGATGACAATTTCTTCTGTAACCGAACGAAGCTGTTCTTGGCCATCCAGGGCCATCGCTCGCGTAATATCCCGGCAAGGAACCCAGAAACGTTGGTAGTTTCAATCTGGAGGAACCCCAACAAGTCCTCTTTGGTGGGTTACCCGCGTGAGTTTGCAGAGCTGGCCACCAGTGGCAGGTTCCTCTCAACCCAGTGGAAGGAGACACGCAGTGGTTCGAAGAGTGGTTCGAAGCGGAGGCGAGTCAGCGTTTTCAAATGCGCCTTACTTTGAGATCCCCCCAAAAGAAGCAGAAGGCCATTGACACGCACATGTGTCTGGGTTTGATACGGATAGCCATGGACCCTCCATGTCGACAGCGGTACTGCCAACGAACTAGAAGCAACCCGGAACCAGCGCAAGCTACGATCAAACTGACTTACACAAGGATGAACGCACATTGTCACAAGTCTTGTTCTGTCGCTGAGTCAGGGGCCTCAGGGGAATTGGGCCATGTACTCTTACCCAACTGCAAAAAAAGGACACCTATGATTCATAGAAACCTGCAGGATTTTCGACAACGTAAATTGGTTAAACGGTCAAATACCCACAACCTTGTCCTGAACATATTTTCCGTTTTTCAATCCACGGCACAGCACCCTCCAACAAATGTTTTTCGGAAAGTGCCAGATTTTGGACATACAATAGTAGTTGGGGTTGCTGGAAGGGGCATCTAGCTCTTTGTTTTGGCCGTCTTGGGGCGATCAGACTGGATGTGGCCACACAACAAAAGCAACCCCCATCTTGCTGGCGCTCAATAGGGAATGAGGGACTGAATTAAATCAGGGGTCTCCCAAACTTAGGAAACCGCCAGTTGGATGGTTTATGCTACGGTTTGAGAGTCTCCAATTCTCATGTTTTCTGCATCTCTCGGAATCAGCAAGCCATATAGCTGTGGGTCAAAACCAATGGTACCATTTTGGGGTAGGTGAATTCACCAACCATTTTAGAACTATTTTAGTGGGAGATTGGGATGTTCACTGGGGTTGCGGGCTTTCGACCCATGGCCATATAGCTGACTGGGCGAATCTCAGTTTGCTCCAAGGCTTGGGGTGAACCACCTGGGCCACTTCGCGCTGTGTGGGCGCCTGCTGCCGCTCCTGGGCGCATCCGCTGAGAGCCCCTGCCGCGTGGTGGCTCGGGCATCAAGTCAGCTTCCAACGAGAGCTTGCCACGAGGTCCCCCAGCTAGGTGCCCTTTCACCAACTTTTTTGGTTGGGAGGGTTAACTGCCTCTACTGGAGGACCTAGACCCATAAAAGGGAATTCACGCTATGTTGAGGTGCAACCACCCATTGAGTTGGCGTTTCCCCCGGTTGCCTATAGTGGCTACATTGCTTTTTCTGGTTTTTAGGGTTTCCCGGTTTCCCCTGCTACATGATGGTCTCTCCTGCCAAGCGCTGCTAGGTGCTCCAGCTAGGTGCCCGTTTTAACCAACTTGTTTGGTTGGGAGGGTTCCCCTACTAAAATGGACTACAGAAAAAGTTGGTACCCTCAAGTCACTGTCCACTTTGGCAGTCGTTGGGGGGTGCTGGTCGGCTTCTCTTTGTTCCCTATAGCGGCTATCGTATGTCAAGTGACCTCCTTTAGGGCCATCAGACAGATAATTGGGGCTCTGGTTTCGGTTGCGCTTCGTTCTTTGCCACAAAAAACATGATGTGTGGTTGCCGTATTGGTGCTCTTCATTGTCCCTTTCAATCAGCAACCAGCTAGGTGTTACCTTTCAAACACCTTACTTTTTTGCAGGGTCGAAGTCTGACCCAGTTTTGGGCGACCATCTGAAGGTTCAGGTTCCAACAGTTGAATCGGTTGTTTGCCGCTGCTTGGTTTTCCTTTGCTCTCCTTACATTTGGCAATGTAGTCAATCTAGTGCTTTCAGTTACCCATGGTAGATTGAAGATCTTTGGTTACCCTGTATAACCTGACATACAAAGGCAAGGGGCCGTGAAGGCCCTTTCAGGTGATCTCTTGATTCCGTGGCAACAATGAGTTTGGCTCCAGAAGGGTGGTCACTTGGATACAGCAAGAACCGGTCCTCAATTCGCTTTTTGGAACCTACAAAAGTGGCAGTTTTACTGGACACCACCAGCAAAAATGGAACTTGTTTAAAGGGACATTTGGTGACCACTGTTACACATAGGTGTCCTTGTTGGTTGTTGTGCCAAAACAATCGATTGCCCTGGTTGACCTGTTTGTTTCATGGTTTGCCAGAGCCATCCAATTTCCCAAACTCACTTGTCCAAAGCCAACCTTTTGGCCTCTCGGTTTTCCTGTTTCGGTCCTTTTGTAGTCATGGCCCCAAACGGTTATCACCTTGTATTTCTGGGTCCCTAAAGGTCAACTGAGCAAAAGGACACCTGCTGACCTGCCCTGCACCACCTAAGAACCCCTGTTTTCTGATTCGATTCCACCTGCAAATACCTACGAACGTTATGGTTTCAAACATGGTTTCCGTTTTGCGGTGCGAACGGATTTCGTCCATCCAGCGATCAGTTTTTGTTCCCCTGAGGTTTGCGTCTCCAGCCTGGCCCACCGCCTGGGCGACATGCAGCGCCTGCTGCAGGAGACACGGGCGAGTGAGTCCATGGGTTGGCTGACGGGTACCAGAGGGTCCATTTTGGGCTCACCCCCTACAATCGGGTGAAAGTAGATGCCAGAATCCGATTTAGGTTTAGTCATGCCCTTTGCTTGCCCAAGAAGGGAATTGTGCCATCTTGAAGCCTTTTGTAAGTCTGTAAGGGAGGCAGGGTGTTGGAGCCAGGGGCCGGTTCCTTTTGATTTAAGTCTAGGGGGTGAGCAAATAGAACCCTGAAGGGGCCTCCGATCGAGCTCACCGATCGGGTACTCACGAGCTCCGTCATGGAGGGGATTGAGCAGACTGGGGAGCCCTTGTTGGGGTATTGTTTCAACAGGAAACCAAGCGGAAGCCTTTCAGGGCCTCTATTCGGAGAACTATGCGGGAAGGGGCTGAGAAGCGGTCTTTCAAGAAACATGTTCCAAGCATTTGTTGTGGGGTGCTTCAATTCCAAACTACGCCATAATCACAGGATAACTGTCTGTACTTCATTTAAACATGTTGCCCCTCATACTATTAATCTGCCCAAGTGGAGCTGGCTGAACTCTCAGTCTTGCACTTGGTGTTGCTTGATTGCAGAGGGGCATGTTCACTTGTCGCAAGCAGCGACCTTTTCAAAACCCGCGTTGGGAGAGCAGGAGCTCGAGTTGTCTGATGTCGCGAGCTACAACGCATGGGCAGCATACAGCGACTCAAAGCTGGCCAACGTGGTCTTTGCCAAGGAGAGATCCGAAGTAAACCCAAAAACGTCCCGCTTGGGGACCCAGTTGCCCGCTGGCGCCCTTTTGTCCTTCTGTTGGGGAAGGGTTCCGCTTCAAACTCAGCCAGACAAGAAAGGATGCGGCCTGTTTTTTCCCATGTCCACTGGGCATTTGAGGGGACGGCCCCAACGACAGATTCTCCTGAGTTGCTTGTTTGTTGCTGGGACATGGAAGTTTTCATAGCGAGGTGGTCAAAGGTCTGTGACCTATTTGCCTCACGAAAAGACCGCCTTTGGCCCCAAGAGATGCCCAAAGCGCCATACTGATCAGCCAAATCTGCAGTTGGGATGATCTGGATGAAAACTTCTGAATGGGATTAGCCACCAACTAGTGTCTTGTATTTGTCCATCCACAGTATTATCAGTGTCAGGTTATGCCTGATAGGTGATTTGGAATGGTGTTTGGGTTTGAACCTCTGGTTCTTTCTCAGGGTATACATGGGAAACCACCCCCAACCACAAATGCAAGGTTGATGGTGAACACATCAAAAGCCTCGCAAGTGTGTGCGGCCTAGCAAATGAGTAAACTTGCGTTCTGGATCTTTTTTAAGGTTGGTGCATCTCCATAGTTCACCCTGCTGTACCTGCAGGGAACCAGAACCCCTTCAGGCTGGTTCCAGCATGGCAACGTGGGTGTTGGAAACATCGACGATGACTGGTAGTTTCGGTCCCGGTCCGGCTAGCGAGCTAAATCTCCGGTCGTTTGCCTATTCTTCCTTTTGCAAAAGCGAAAAAAGGATGCTGGGGTCCCTAGAAAGCATGCCCCCCTACCACACTGATTCTTAAAGGGGTTCTAAGAGCCGTTCCTGGCTGGGCCCCCCCCTACCAGAATGAATCTCAGAACCCTTTCAAGAAAGCTAAGAGCCGTTCCTGGCTCGAAGGGAATGACCAAAGGGAATGAATGCCTTTCTCTTCCCCAGTTCTCGTCCATTGCCTTCACCATATCCTCCCTCCTCCTCCGTTCGGATGCTGTGGATTGGTGAAGTGCTGACGAGAGAAGCGAGAAGGCCAACCGCTTCCTGTGTACGTCCTTTCCCTTCATTTCACTCTGTCAAGTCCTTGTACACATGAATGCTCTCTCCCATGTCCTAGCGACCAGAGGTAAGCGGTGGAAGGACATGGCCAGACACCTGACAGCGAGTACACGAGCGGAGTGGAAGGTGACTGGGAATGAAGGCTTGACCAAACACACGATTCCTCACTGTCAAGCCTTCCCACATTCCTTTCTCTGTCCTCACCTGACCTTAGCTTATGACCGAAGGGAGAAAGGGAGACAGGTCAGGGACAGAGATTAGGAATGGATTTCTCTTTCTTCATTCCCTGCCATTGCCTTCTTCTCCGTCAAGGACGGGTCAAGGAAGAGGCAATGAGAGATAGGGAATGATAAGGAAAGAGAAAGGAGAGAAGCGACCTGACTCATCCCTTCGTCATCTCTCATCTCTCTCCAAGACACACGATCCAAAGGCTAGGGTTTTCCCGTAGGCCCAAGGCTATGTTGTGGCCGCTGCGAGGAGCTGAACCGGCGATTCCAAGCCGCTGGCGCCGTGGCGTCGGCGGTGTCTCTGCACCCAGGCGCAAGCTCGGCGTCTCACTCCGCGTGTTGTTGTTTTGGTGGGGTCCAAGTGTCCGTGTCCGGGGCTTGCCGTTTTTTTTTTGAGGAGACCCGTTTTGTGGCTTGGTTGAAAGGGAAGCCAAAAGGAAGACCAGCACTTGAGTCTTGAGGCCCCGATTTTTTTTACACACACCCTCCTGTGTTCAATCATGTGAAACATCGCCTTTTCTGGGAGGTACATGTTTAGAATAGGTTGCATTGAGAAACACCAAATATGGGCCAGAATCAACTCTACGATGTCTGGTTCGGTGGGGTTGCAAATCTCAGATACCGGTATAGTAGACATCTTCGCCGCTTGGTTCTTGCAGGCTGTTCCCCTTGGCACCTGCTAAACGGGCAACTGGGCTGATAGTGTCATTGTTGGGCCAACCGTTTTCCCCTTGTGGACATGCCGACCGAATCTTCTCCAGTTGCAGCCTCCTTGCGGTTGCCCTGAAACGGCAACCAGTGGACCAGCGCCAGTCCTCTTTGGTTGACGGGGCACCTGTTGAACAGCGCCAATCCGCACGAACTTCCCTAGTTGTGGATGGACAAATCCATGCAAAACGCAGCAGTTGGCATGGGTGCCAACCGATTCGCATGGGATCAACCACTGACCAGCGATAACATTTTGCGCATCAAAGCCCAGTGGATCCCAGGTACCATTGTAGTTACCCCAAGGATTTCCCTTTTGGTGTTTAAAGAGTGGGAAGGTTTTGGTTCCCTGCAAAACCCGTCAATGGATCCACCTGGTATTTGTGTTGTCTTTAAAGAGTGCGAAGGTTACAAAACCCGGTCACTGGATCCACTGGGTAAATCGATGTTCATGCCGACGCGCTACGTGGATGTTGCTCCGCGGCGTTGGGCAGGGCTTTGTGCGACAGAGTTGGCGCGCTACGTGGTCTCCGGGAAAGATGAGCCGCTGGAGGCGTTGTTGGGGCGTGTGTGTGTGTGTGTGTCGAGTAGTGAAGGAGTCCAACAGGTTTTCTGGGCCTGCCAGGCAAGCCCAGCCACCCGGTTCTTTAGGTGTTTAGCCTTTTTGGGATGTTAGTTTCCATTTCACCCACAAGTATGTTTTCTTTGCAGCGGATCTGAGGACCCAGTTTGGTGCTCGTACCACTTGCTGGTCTGCAAGGGGGACAAGGCTCCTTAAGGTGCAATCCTCATTTTGACTCCATGTGGAAGCCAACCTGAAGCCAGCCTTACGGGTTCCACACATTCCAATGGGAAAAATCCTTTGTATGCCCTTAAAACCAAGGGCCTTTCTTCCTTCCGTCCGTCCATCCGTCCTTTAATTCCTTTGTTGCTTCTTCCTATGTGTTTTGTTTTTTCTTGATGTCGTTTGTTTCTTTATGTTTGTCTTTACTTGTTCATAGTGTCTTTCTGTATTATTCCTTTATTAGTTCATTTATGTCTTGATGTTTTCATTATTTACTTGTTTGTTTCTTCTTCTGTCTTTATTCATTTAGTTATGACCTTCTTTCTTTATTTGTATGCTGATTTTGTTTACTCCTTTCTTTCTTCCTTCCTTCCTTTCCTTGTCGTTTGTTCCTTTCTTTCTTTTTTTCCCTTTCTTTCTTTCTTTCTTTC